CCGGAGTTGTGATGCCTCTGGCCTCCTTGGTTACTTGTGTGCCTGCGTGAGATTGTGCACACACGTGTGCGCGCACACAGACACACACACTTAAAAATAAGTATAAATTTTGAAAATATAAAGTCAAGTGCAAATGTGAGCTGTTTGGGAACTGAGAGTGGATGGAACAGGCTTGGAAGAACTAGGTGTTATCTTTTAAGAATCACAATTCCCATAATCTCAGGAAGTTACCTGGTCTTTGGGCAGGTGGGACTTACAGGTTAATTTTGTATCAATAGTCCAACAAAAAGTCCTGGGACAGGTAACAGAAAGTCATGATCTAATAGAGGTAAGGAATCATCTCAATTCTCTTGTAATTCTACTAACAGATTGTAAAGATTTGCTGAGTAAAATAGGTGTAACACATTCTACCACACATAAACTCTTGTATCCTACGAGAAGTACAGAACAAGTATTATTTTCACAGAAAAATAAGTCTTTCCAAAGGGCAGTCATTTACCAAAGGGGGAGGTTGTGATAAGAAGTGGAATTACAATAAGAAGGAACAATGGTGAAATGAAAACAGACAGTGAAGCAAAAAGACATTTTCAATGGGAACACCAGCCATAGGTTTTAAATTACTAGTGGGGGCATGTTCCATTTTGTCTCCCATTATATATCCTTGTATACTTTTCACGAGAAACCCCTATTCCACACAAATTTCTTTAAGAGCCGGAGAATAGAGAGATCTCTTCTGACACAGAAGGGATTTTCTCCTTGGCTTTTTAGTGCTAAATGGACCCAGACATTTTAAGTTATAGTCACTGATACTCTGGTATCTTAAATTCAGTTGAGTGATTAATGAATCTTCCCTTCCTCCTCTTAATTTTAGCATATCTGTAATTTCTGTTATCAGAAAAATAAAACTGTTAGCCATAGGACAATCATGGTGCAGATTCTAACAGCAAGAGCATAATGTTTTAAACTTCAGGAAGTTTGATTCTTTTTTTTAACGATCTTTTTGTCATTCACTTTCTTCCTCAAGGATCCTCTGCTGTGTGTTTCTTGGGTGCCTTCTTGAGGTGTGAGTGATGAACCCAGGCAGGAATACCAGCACATCACAAGGTCCTTTCCATCTAAGTTCAAGTTGGCTGGTTTTGAAGCCGCAGACCAATACAGTGACTCGGGGTAGTTGAGCAGCCTGGACCTGAGGGAAAATCTTTTGTTGTTGTTTTTGTTTTCGAGACAGGGTTTCTTTGTGTAGCTTTGGAGCCTATCCTGGCACCCGCTCTGGAGACCAGGCTAGACTCGAACTCACAGAGATCCGCCTGCCTCTGCCTCCCCAGTGTTGGGATTAAAGGTGTGCACCACCAACGCCCAGCTGAGAGAAAATCTTATCCAAGGTTAATTGCAATCCTTTAAGGACGCAGAGATTGGAGTGGGGCAATTGATTACAGTCCCTCATGTACTCGAGGGCTCATAGGTGGTCACCCATAGACTCTCTCATATGTGGTGAACTCTTCCCATTAGGAGGTACATCATACCTTGAGAAGGTTATAAGGCAAGAAGAGGTCAACCCAGTTATCAGTCTACAGAGTATATTTAGTTAAAATTTCTTCAAAGTTCTATTCATCCTTTCTCTTTCTGAGCTCTGAGGATGATACATACAACAAAGTTTCCAGTCTCTGTTAAGAGCCTTAGAGAGCAATTGAGATAACTCGGCTGTGAAGGCTGAGCCATTGTTAGGCCTCGGAGATTTGGGGAGGCCAAATCTGGGAATAATTTCCATTATTAGTCTCTTAGCTACCACTTGGATACTTTCTACTCAGGTGATGCTGTGCCTTGCTTTTTGTCCCGGATGGGAGAATATTGAGGTTCCATAAAACACACTTACATCCCAGATTGGGATCTCAACCAAATAGACTGTGGTTTAGAAGGGAAGCCTCTGTAAATGCTCACCACTTTCTAAACACAGCTCTTCACTGTGATAGTCCCTGGAACTGAAAGTACACATCAGAGCCTTGGAACCTCTCAAGATGTGCACCTCCTGAGATACCCCTTCTGCCCTGCAGTTCTGGGCTCTCACTCAGAAGTGAAGGTCCAGATTTAGAATTTGGGTGGGTGGCCTCCAGTAAATGTTAAGCCCAATGGGCAAGAATTTTGCCAAAATTGAAGCAAGCTTGTGTATTTATTGAGGTACACACAAGAGCTGGCTAGCAACTGCCCCCGAAGTCTGGTTAAAGAGACCAGGCCTTACTTAGTCCATTCCTTGGACCCCTTTTAAGGAGTAAAATCACAAGTAGTTGTAAAACAGGTTTACAGAATACAGACAATGGAGCAATAAAGAAATACAGAAAAATCTCAAAACCACGTATCTGTGGAGGGAGGATTAGGGAAGGCCAGGGTGTTCTCAACAAACAAGTCAAGGTCACGCACGGGTTGAGGCAGGGTAGGCTCCAGAAAACAGATTTAAAAGCAGCAACTCAGCTTTTACAGTAAATGGAAACTCATTTTTAACAATACAGCATAATGACTCCTGCCTTAAAATGGAGGCAGGCAAGTTCCTCAACTCTCTTACTGAGATGTGCCCATGTACACAGATAATGGCTCTGTCCTGGAGACGCTGGTGTTTAGAAAAACCACAGGTCCTTACGTAACCCAATGAGTTGATCCTGATCAGCATTAAAGAGCAAAACAAAGGGCTAGAGAGATGGCTCAGTAGTTACTGGCTGCTCATCCAGAGGACCTGGGTTTGACTCTTATCACACATACAGTAGCTGATGACCAACTGTAACTCCAGTCCCAGCGGATCTGTGCCCTTTTCTGGTCTCCACAGAGCACAGGCATACATGCAGACAAAACACCTATCCATATAAAATAAAAAATGAAGGGGGAATAAAGTAAAAATGAAACAGAATGAAAACCCACCAAAGTTGGTGTCAAAGGACAAATTACAATTTAGCTAAAGATCTTAATTACTCTTATTTTCTAGAATTGGGGAACACGTATACTGTAAAGTAGTGCTCCAATAACTGAGGATTAAAGGGTGGGGAGAGAGCAGAAACAAAGATTACCACAGCATTATGCTCCTTTCAGGTAAAGATAAGGGAACAGAATCATAGACAAATAATTTACTGTTGATATTAGGTTGCTTCTATTTACCTTCCTTACAGGGCGAGGTAGAAGAACTTCCTTATGCCTGTGAAATTGGCCTGTGTGGCACACCTTACATTTTGTAATCTCTAATCGTAGTTTCTTAAATCAGATAAATACCTTGGTTTCTACTTGCTGACAGGAAACTTCTTTGGCATGAGTGACACCATCCTGACTTGTAGCCTGCTCTACTGGGACCTGAGTCAAGAGCTTAATTGAAAACAATGGCCTTCTGTAATTTTTATTTAATAAGGGTTGCAATTATTTTATGAGGCTTCTCAACCCTTTTGTAGGGGTTTAGCTACAAAATTAGTGTGTGTGTGTGTGTGTGTGTGTGTGTGTGTGTGTGTGTGAATTGGAAATGGTTTGTTGCCAGCACTGGTCAGCTAGTCCTGTGTATTACTTTTCTCATTGCTGTGACCAAATGGCTGAGAAGCTATCTTAAAGGAGAAAGGGTTTTCTCTGGCTCATACTTTGAGAGTACGGTCTCTCGTAGTGGGGAAGACAGGTAGCAGAGAGTGTCAAGGCATCGAGAGGTCCTGTCTCTGTGGAAGCAGAAAGAGGACATGAGGTGGAGCTAGCTGTAAACCTTGAGGTTTGTCTCCCCGATGTCCACTTCCTCCAGTGAGGCACCATCTCCTAAAGGTTCCAGATACTCCTAAAAACAGCACTACCAGCTAGAGACCAAGCATTGATATGAAACATGAGCTTTTTGAGGGCGACATTTTACTTGTAAACCATAACACTGCTTCTTTGAAAAGGAACTCAAATCTGACTCTTATGCCATGCTAAGGATGTCTTGATGACTGATGTGAAAGACACTCACACTTGAGTCCTGGACTCGGCCTCATTGTTCATCTTGCCAGCATGAGAGGGACCACAGACTAAAGCTGTAAAAGACAGCTGCCATCTAGTGTTAGATCATAGCCTACACTTCAAGATTGGAATACTAAGTCATTTGTGAGAACGTGTGAGTGTAAATGATGCTTAAGCATGGGCTTTCGGGGGCATGGTGTCTAATAATTCCAGATGGCTACTGTTTAACTTGGTCTGGGTGCAGACAGAGAAAAGGAGAGTCCCAAGCTCTAGAAGATAATATCAAGAATTCTTTCTGTTAATTTTTTCTGCTTTTCTGAAGTGGGTCCAATTGCAAACACCCTGTTGTTCAGAAGCAGCCATGTATTTGTTGATGGCTGTGATTTTTGTCTGCCAGTGGAGAGGGGGCCCAGATACTCATTCACCAATAATTGACTGTCTGGATTCTGTTCCAAGCACAGACTCTCTAAAGTGGAGTTATTTAACATCTGCACTCTTTAGTCATCTTTCTAGCCCAACTAACTCATAATCCTCACCGCATCCATTCTTATCTCCAACCTCTGAGCCTTAATATAAGGCCTAATACTTTTCTGTAATGTTTTAATTAAATGGAAATTATGAATTATTTGTGTGTGTTAACATTTTTTTTTTCTTAGCAAAATTGCTTAAGAGAGGAAAAAGGCTTATATTGTCAGTAAAACGAAGGGTATTTAATCATGAAACTCTTGAAAGACTAGGAGGGGATGTGGTTGATGCCTTCAGGTATTGACAGACTACATCAGAGGGCTCTAATGCTACCTGCATATGCCAGAGGCTTTGTGAAGACAGGCACATGAAGGGTAGAGGAAGCGGTCCATAGCTCATAGCAACCAGCTCTAGCAGTTAGGTTCTGACCAGCAAACTGAACCACCTCTCAAAGATAGTGGATTCTCTGGGCTTCAGAGGGTCCCCAAGTTGGCATGAAGGTCCGGATGCTGAGTGTTTCTAGATATTAAAAAACAGTGAGTCAAGATTTTAGAGAAAAGAAGAGGGGAAAAAATGCTTCCAGAAAAAAATGTGGTGGGAGGAACTATGCCATTTTGTAGAGGACCTGCAACCGGTGTCTAGAACAGAAGTCTTGGCTTTGAGACTCATCTGTTGCATGTTTTTGGAGATGGACATGCTCTGGTAAGGTGAACTAACGTTGAAATTCTTACTCCTTGTCTGCTCAGGGTCATTGGCTTTCTGGAAGCTATTGTTTGCATAAAATTCGGACAAGATCTTTTCTCTAAGACCCAGATACTCTACGTTGTATTTTGGCTTCTTTGTGTGGTAAGTTATTACTCTCACACCCCAGAATGTTAACTGAACTCCCTAGCTGTCTCTATGGAAAGTGAAATACAAAAATAAGATTATCTTGTACACTTGAGTTTCCTTAGGAGTGTATAGACATTTTCTTAAAAACTTAAGATTGGACACCACACGCAGAATTTGAGATTAATGAAGAAGCAAACATCTCATGTGCTGGCTGATAAAGTTGTCGAATAATCATCATACATTTTAATGTTCGTCACCAGATTGTGAAGCCAAGCTGGATTCTGCATGCTCGTTGCTGCCACATCTAGGGGCTCAGACTACTGCCTGGCTTTAATGCCACAGAGTTTTCTGTTCTCCCTCCCTTATATCCCTCTTTAAACAAAATCTATGCAATTGCTATTTTAAATCCAGACCTTGACATTTTAAATGGCTACTTGCCTGGATTTCCACAGGTCTGATTGCAAACCTATAAATTACAAGCTTTTTTGTCTCCTGAACCAAGTAGAAAATGGGCCTCTTGTACCTAGGTGAAGTGATAGGTTTGGCAACCACATTAGGCCCCTTGTGTGGTGATCATGATGAGGAGCACCTGCCTGTGTTTGCCTGGTCCTTCTGCAAAGCCAGCCCCAGTCTGCTGGGAAAAAGCCCCAGCTGCAGCCTGACTATAGCGATGAGAACGGAAAGAGCTTGCACGCCTGCCCTCTAGTGGTCAGAATCTGCAATGGCAGGCCAGTGAAAGCGTTACCTTCCTCCTCCCAGGCTCATTCCACAGCCAATACTTTGGGAAGAGGTGCCTAAACCCCCTCTCCCAGTGTGAAGCTTAAGACATTCTGTTGTGCCCTTGTGAAAACCCTAACACAATGGAGGTTCACACGCGGTACATTTCTGCTTGTTGTTATTCTTTCCCTTCCATGAAAAATGGCAAATTTAATGTTCGGATAGTATTAGAATATGCTGGAGGTTACCTTTACCTTTTGTAACTGTGATATATTCATTCTCTGCACAGTTTTTGTAGTGAGGAAATGTGGACTTGTCTTTGAAACTCCATCATGTAGAGACCTGCTAGTTTGCATTGGATTGAGTTTCATGTTTTCTTGCCACCATGCCACTATCACAGCCTCCGGGGTAGACAAGGGGACAGCCAACTGGAGCACTGGGATTCCTTTCTTTTGGGTTCTTAGGAGGACGCTGACTTCAGAGACACTTAGCAAATGTTGAGGACATGAAGGAAGGGACCGGAACTTAGGCTCCAGGCCATAGGGACAGGTTGACAATTCTGCTGCGTTTTCTTGTCTGCTTCACCTCCCAGACTGTGTCTGTGCAACGTGGGCAAGGCTGGCGTCTGCTGCTCTATGGTGCCTTGTTTTTCTCAGTGGGTGGAGGAGCTCCATGGAGGGATGGTGATAGGAAGATGTAAAGACATAAAACCAGTATCTGATTAGACCAATAACATCTTTAAAACTGGGACCTGGCCTACCAGGAAACCTATGTTCTGGCTCCAGTTTTTTTCCCATGCCACCTAAGGCCCTGGAAGGCATTCACCTCTCTGGGCTTTTTCCTCTTCTGTTAATGTGCGAAGATTAAGGATCTCTGAAGTGGCCTTCTAAATCTAAAGCTCCGATTCTCAGAAAGAACTAAAATTATGATTTCATACCTGTCCCCATGGTTGGGATGAGGCAATAGGTAACAATGTACCCAAGTGTCCATAGGAAATAGTGTGAGCTCTCCGGGTATTGGGGATGTCTTAGTGTAAGTGTTGTAGAGAGCAGGCTGTTTTGTTTGGTTGCTCTAGTTTACTTCACTTACTCTTTCTGGCCCCTCTGTGCCCCCCTCATACCCTTTTTCTGCTGGCCCTCTTGTTCCCTCTGCCCTTTGCTGCTCAGTCTAGGCAGCCAAAGACTTTTCCTAAACTTAGTGTTTGGGCACATTTTGAAATTCCGTATAATATCCATGAGAGATGGGTTCCGTCCCACCCCCATGGGTTACAGAAATCCAATAGCCATCAAGTCCTACATTCTCAGTGGCATTAGTGTATGCATATCCCATAGCATTTAAATCACATGTAGATAAAACATAAATACTGTGTAACTTATTTTTTAGGGAATGATGATGAGTATTTTAAAATCTTTATATTTGGATCAATACATTTTTTTTTTTTAACCTCGAAATATTTCTAAACAGGTTTGTTGACTCTGAGGATGGGAAGCCTCTACATGCAGAGGGCCAGTTGTCTGTACTTTTGTCTCACACTTGTACTGGCTGGGTGAACAGTCAAGGCTGAGGTAGAGATGCCTGGTTTCTGGGTAATCACTCATCTCACTCAGGTCATTACAAAGTGTTTTCAGTCTCTTTGTTTTCCTGTCTACAAAAACAACAACAATTCTAACAAGGGTCAGGGTGGGGCAACTGGCACCAAAAAGCCAGGGCAGTAAGCACAGCATTGTTCCTCTTGCTCAGTCCTCAGGGATGCCTTCCCAGGCATTGTATGACAAGGCCGAATGAGACTTTTCTGTCCAGAAGTTCTCTTTCTGAAGCTGAGTCTCTGCACTCTTTAGAGATGGATGTCGGATAGAGCCATGTGTCTGGTCTCACCATAGCCATCCTTACAAATGGAGTGAGTAGATACTGCCTGCCCAACTCCAGTCCACCAAACTCGTTCCTGCTCATCTCTGACTGTCCATCTCGGCCACATCCCTGAAGACATAGGCAGAAAGGCGCTGAGCTATCTTCTGGATTCTCCCAAAAACCCAATTTCTAGGAAGTGAAGTATGCGTGCACTGTTATGTATAAAGGGGCTTTGTGTCTTTCTTCCAGGCCTTCACCACGTTCCTGTGTCTGTACGGCATGGTTTGGTATGCAGAGCACTATGGTCACCGGGAAAAGGTAGGGGAGGAGTGGTCTTCAATTGAAAGACCCAGTGGATAACCCAAACACACAGAGGGAAAGAAGTAACATAGCAGCCTTAGGGAGCGATGTCAATCCTGCCAGATAGAAACTTAACATGTCGGTATGTGCCCCTGTTACACAGCTGTGCTTGCTGGTACCTGGCCTGGTCAGTATTTTTTTTTTTTGTTGTTGTTGTTTATTTATTTATTTATTGGTTTTTTGAGACAGGGTTTCTCTGTGTAGCTTTGGAGCCTGTCCTGGCACTCGTTCTGTAGACCAGGCTGGCCTCTAACTCACAGAGATCTGCCTGCCTCTGCCTTCTGAGTGCTGGGATTAAAGGCATGTGCCACCAATGCCTGGCCTGGTCAGTATTTTTAACCCATTTTTGCAAGGGGTTTAAATCTCAGTTATTTAAATAAAAAATTTAACCCCTGAACTCATTCTCTAGGTTGTTTTATATTCTGGCTCTTTTGCCTTTTCAGACCTTTTTATGAGTCCCAGTTCAGGCTCCCCACCTGCGCTGCCTGTGTCTTGCAGTTAGAGAATGGTCCGAGTGGGTTTTAACACTAGAATAGTCCTGGGGAAATAGTGTGTGTGTGTGTGTGTGTGTGTGTGTGTGTGTGTGTGTGTGTGTGTGTGTGTGTGTGGTGTGTGTGGGTGGGG